TTACTTATTTTCATCATAACTAGATTTAAATCATCCAATGTGATGATGACATATCATAATTTCTATATCTTTCATTCCACGAGGTGATTTGTTTTATTTTCCAATGTTCCTTATTTAATATCACCTGTGTTTCATATAACGATTTCCAATATTCTAAAGTAATATCGTTATTTGGATATATTTCATTTTGTTTTTCTTCTTTATTTTAATTTTCTTATTAGAATCAAACATAATTTTATTTGAATTGATTCTGACAATTTCATTTTTATTAAATTTAATTCTTTCTTTAATCATTGTCATCATATATTTTAGGTACTTTATTCTTTCTTGTGCTTTGATTTTAATTTCATCTGCATCTTGTTCCTTTAATCTCATGATGCATTTTATTCTGTACCATCCATTGATTAGATCTTCTAGTCTATTTATTTTCCTTAGGATTTCTTTTACTTCATCAAATTTATCTCATTTAAATTTATTTTAGAGATAATAATACATACATATTGAAATCATTTTCATATCTTCTTGCAGATTTTCTATTCTCCTGACCATACCCATTTATTATTAATTTCTCTAATTAATTTATCTGCTTCTTTCCTTCTCCAGTAGTAATTAATATTTACACATTTTTCTATTTCCATTTCTTTAACTTGAGTGATGATAGAGTTAAGATATTCATTATCAATATCAGTAGAGTTATTTTTTATGATAATGTTTTTTATTATTGGATTACACTCTACTTTCCCTTCTATGATGGAGTTCACTTTCATTCTGATATATCTTTTAGTTGTTTATTTTATTTTATGTGATATTTTAATATTATTAATGTATTCTTTCTCATTATTTACATTAATATTTATTATTTTTATTATGCTTTCTATTTGTTCCCATCTTAATTTCTTATTTAATTTCTTATTTAACAAATTAATTGCAAAACAATACAATACATCAATTAAAATTCTATTTGTTTGATTTGTTGTGTTTTCTTCTCTTCTTGACTGATTATCATTTCTTGTTTTTTGACACTCAGTGTTTTGTTCTCTTCTTCTTCTATTTCCAGAATTGTCTTTTTCATAGGGGTAGTTTGGTTCATTTGTATGTCCCAGATGATGTTTTTCTCACCATTTGTTGTGTATTTATCATTAATATCATTGTTTTCTTCTTCTCTTTTCTAAAATAAAAAAAAATAAACAATAAATTGTTGATATTTTGATATTATTTGATTTTGTTCTTCATTTTCTCTTTGTGTGTGGTCTAATTCTTCTCTTGTTATTTCTGCAATCTCATAGTTTTGAATCCCACTTTTTTGATATACAGAGATTTGATTTTCTTTATCTCTTATGTTCTTCTCTAGCAGCTCAGCACTCTTCTCCAGCTCATCACCCTTAAGGACGATGTCCTTCTCCTTCTTCAGCTTCTCATAGATAGCTCGGGGCGTGAGGATGGTTTCATCCTTACCTCCTACTTCTATGTTCCTTCTACCATCTGCTTCTTTTATTTTTCCTTGTAATGTATTATTTTCCTCTTTTAATTTAGAGTTTTCTTTTCTTATTTCATTATATGTGGTTTGAATATTGTTTATTTGTGTTTTAATCTTTTCTATTTCTTCTTCAAACTCTTTCCTGACTGTTTCTCGTGCTTTTTGAATTATTTCATCTGAAATGGTTCGTTCTTCTTCCATCTTTTTTGTTTGAAGTTCTTTAATATTTTCTTCTAATTCTTTAATTTTATTTTGAAGTGTGTTAATTTCTTCTTTGTTGCTTTCTTCTTCCTTTTTCTCTTCTTTATCTTGTGTTTTCCTTTTATTTTCTTTTTCATTTATTATTCTTGTAGTTTTACATCTATCATTCATTTCTTTGATTGGATTTTTGTTTTTGATTCCTTCTTCAATTGTTTTAATATCTTCACTTTTCCATTCTTTTGTTTTATCTTTGAATTCTTCTTTGTTTTTCTTTATTATTTTATTCTTTCTTATTGAATATACTTCTTAGACAATATTATACCAATTTCTTTACCTTCATACTTTTTAAGTATTTCTGAATATTCTCCTTTCTCCCATTTTCTTGTTATTCTTTTAATTTTCTTTTGAATTTCTTTTGTTGTCAACCATTTAGGTTTCTTATTTGTATAATGTTTATTATCATTATACTTGCCTTGTTTTTTATTTGTTTTTCTTTGTATTCTTCTTTTTCTATTCACTTTTTTCTTGTTATTTCTTTTATCATAATTATTATTCATTTTATTGTTATTGAAGTTCTTTCTTTTCTTTGAACTTGAATACCTGTTTGTTGTTTGATTTTCTTTACAAGACTCTGTGACATTACTCAATAACATGGCAACAAAATTTGTTATATATTCTGCATTGATAAAAGGATCTATGAGGTGTTTCTTAATAAAATAAAAGAAAGAATTAAGAAAATAAGAACTTTAGAAAAAAAAATAAAAGAAATTGAGATGAAACAACTTAAAGTATGTTTAATAGGAGATTCTGGTGTTGGGAAAACAAGCCTTCTTTCTCGTTTTATTGACAATACATTTTCACCAAGAACTATGCCTACTATTTGTGCTAATATTTTTATTCATGAATTTCATGTTGATGGGAAAATAACACAAGTTGCTTTATGGGATACAGCAGATCAAGAACGATTTCGTTCATTAGCAACAATGTATTACAGAAATACAAATGGTTGTTTAATTGTTTTTGGTTTAAATGATCCAGATAGTTTTTATAATATCAAAACATGGTATAACAATCTTATTCATACAGTTGGTACGGATGTTGCTATTATTATTGTTGGAAATAAAAACGATTTACCTGAAATCTCTATCACAGAACAGGAAATAAAAGCTTTAGCTAATGAACTACATTGTTCTTGGTGTCTTGTTTCTGCTAAAACTGGTGAAGGTGTTTCAAATGCTTTTGAAAGTATTGCTAGTATGTTACATATTACAAAAGACGAAGAAAGTGATGAACAATCACAACATAATTTAAACAATTCATCATCACAAAATATATGTCATTAATTGATATAGTTTTATCACTTATCATTAAAATTTAAATAAAAGAATATAAAATAAAAAGAAAAGAATTAGTTATTAGAATAAAAATGATATACAAGAATATGTTAAATGATTTAAAATCATTTCTTCATTAAAAACTAAATTTTATTTCTTCTTATATTATATTTCTCATTTTTTCTTTTCTTCTTAAAAATTTAACACAAAACTTAATACAGGAGATTTCAAATGATCATTTTCTAACACACTTATTGAGAATTCTTGGCATCTCTTAATCTTCTAATTGTTGATCTAACTGTGGCTCCTGAAATGGTAGACAAAGTATATGCCCCTCCTGCTATTTCTTTCTTACATCCTTTGCATTCCCAAATCCCACATGCTGTTCTTCTTACTGCTTCTTTACAACAGAATGGACAAACATATTTAGAATGTTGTGCAATTTCAATTTTCTTGATGACTTTACGAAGAGAAGCTCCATATCTTGTTCCGTATTTACCAACAATACCAACTTTCTTTGTTCGTCTAGCCATTGTAAAGTCACACTCTTACTTTTTAGTTGTTTTCTAAAACCTATTTTTTTTTTAAGGGTTTCTTCTTTATTTTCTGCTAATAGTTATTAATAATTTATATTTAATAACATCACAAAGTGTTTCTGTAGATTATGATAATAATAATTAACAGCAGCTTTTTTATTTTCTCCGTTATCTCCAAATTATTGAAAGATAAAATTTTTAATAAAGAAAAGATAAGAACAAATAAAATTAAAAAGAGGAATGAAGAAAAGAAGAGAAAGGGATAAGATCAGCATTATCATAAGAGTAATCATAATTTAATAGATTGAAATAAGAAGAGTCATGATGATAATTCAAATTAATAAGTTGTGGTGTGGAAAGAATCAAATCTGATGATGTAGGAAGATTTATAAATGAAAGGAAAGAAGAAGGGATGTTAAACAATGTGTGTTGATTAAATTGAATGAAGGTATCAGTTTGGTGTTGTTCCATAAGACGAAGAGTTAATTTTCCCATTTCAATTAATTCATCTCTTCCAAATATTTTACCATCTTTAAAAATACTAGTAATTCTAATGAGTCTTTCAGTTAAATGTGCTGTTTTAACTTTCTTTTCAGAAAATAAATATCCTTCATTTATAAGTAATGAAATAATTCCATTATTTAATTGTGCTTCTTGTGTACGTTTGGCTTGTTTCTTAGTCATTTTACTAATTGTTTTTGAATCCATTCTTGTATAACCAAGTGCATTTAAAAGTGTATTTGAAAGTAAACAAATATCTTGAACTTTCAATGTTTTCCCATTTTTACTTATACTTTCTGGAAGAAGCATTTTAATTGTTTTACTTGTTTTTTTTGATCTTTTAACAATTACTTCATATCCTTCTTTAACTAATAAATATATCATTGCATCAAAATTTATCGTTTCATCATTTCTACTCGTTCTTTTCCTTTCTTTTAGAACTTCACTTCGTTCTGTTCTCTTGATTCCTTCTTTCATCTTTATTCTCTTATTCTTTTCTCTAGTTCCGATCTCTATTTATTTTTTCCTTTCTCTATTTTTATCTTTTCTTCTTCTTTCTCATTGGTTGTTTTTTTTCTTTTTTCTTCTTTTTCTTGATTTTATGTTCACACTTGATCATTATTCATTAAATAGATTCTTTATGATTCTTTTCTTTTTTTTTTCTGCACCTCTTTTCAACTTCTTTTCTTCATTTTTTCATTGTTTCTACTTCTTTCTTATCCCAATTCATTTAAATTTAAATTAGAATGAAGAATCTTTTCTGTTTTCTTTTATCTGTTTTATATCCCAATTTTATTATCTTTTTCACTTTTGGAACTCTAAAATTGTTAATTATAAAGATGAACTAATGGATATCCCTAAAACATATATCCCTTTTTCTAATCCCTATTATTATAATATTTTAAAAAACATAGTCTCTTATTGTGTGATGAAACAAAAAGCAAAAGTATTCACTTATTCGCATTTGACTTGTGGACAATAATTGAAGCATTCGATAATACTTCTTACATTGGGTAATACCCTTTTGAAGTCAGGAACTGATTCAACGTCAAATTGAGTTATTGAATCTTTCATCCATCCCATCATTACGTCTTCAAACTTCTTTGGTTCATCACATAAAATGGCTTCCCAATCAGTTTGCATTCCTTTTGGGATGTGTTTATTGATTTGATAATTTAGTGACGCGAGCATAGCTAACATAAACACAAAACCTGTTGCAGCTGTTCCACGACTTAATGGCATGAAGTTATACCAATAGAAAGTGAAATCAAACATTGCTCTTAATAAAGCTTCATCCTCCCCCTTTTTTCCTTTTCTTGTTAGTACTAATCTAACAATGTTCTTCCAACATTCTGTTAATTCTTCGTCATACAATTTCCACCTTGGCATAGTACATGGTGTTTTAATAGCAAATTCATATCCTGGTTGTTTAATTTCAACAACTAATCTTGTTCCTTCGTAGGTTCTCTTAGTACCAGGTTTGTCAGGGTCATCAAAGTACAAAGATTTGCAAGGTGTTGTGACATGGAAATCGCTTTTCATTACATCAAGGATATCTTGGATATTTTTAGCTGCTTTAACTTTTTCAGCCCAATCTTCTTTAATCTTTAATTGCTCAGGAAGTAATTTCTTTACGATTTCAAATGCACGTTGATATTGACAATAATATCGTACAACTCTTGTTTGTCCAATGAACATTGGTGTGTGAGATCCAAATCCCTCTTCAAATTGTTCATGAGTCAATAAATCAATCCAATATACTGGGTCATTTGGCTCTGATATTTGTCTCCACTTAACAGCTATTTTCATAACATCTCTCCAATGAAGTTTACCAATATATGGTTTTGCTTGTTCTTCAGTTAATCCACCAAATACCCATTCAGGAAGAACATCCCTTATCTTTTTAGCCATTTCTATTGCAGCCATACCAGCCATAAGATATTGTGCTTTGTTGTGAACAAAACCTTGAGAGTCGTATTGCATATATTTACCAATGTTCATTGCAGGAATAATAATTCTATTAATAACGTTTTGACTTGGAAGTGATTTTTCATCAACATCAGATATACTTTCTTCAAATGGTGGTTGTTCTTCATATCTATGAAGTGCAGCAGGGATAAGGTGTTTGCAAAATCCTTCTTTAAAGAAAGGATAAAAAGATTCTAAGTCCCATTCTTCAAACGATTTGTTTAAGTGATGATGTGTATATAATGCAATTTCCTTCATATACCATGCAGTGTCATCACTTTTAAGTTCCATAGCACGTTCAAAATCTTCTACAGCTAATCTAAACTGACCAGAAGCAGATCTAGTGACACCACGATATCTCCATGCTTCACACATTCTTTCTGGATCTTTTTCAATTCCAGAAATTGGTTCAGTACGGTTATCAATAGCAAGTGTAAATTCTTTAATAGCAGCTAAATGATATCCAGATTGTTGATAAAGAACTCCACAAATATAATGTCCATTAGAATGATTTGGTTGCATTCTGAACAATTTATTGAAAACATCTTTTGATCGTTGGAAATTGCCTGCATCTTTATGTAATTGAGCTAAATTTACATAACATTCAATAAAATCATCTTTAATTTGTAATGCTCGTGCATATGCATCAGCTGCCTCAGCAACTAATCCAAGGGCGTTGTTATTTAACCCAAGATGATTCCATGAATTAAAGTCCATTGAATTCTTTCTAACAGCTTCTCTGAAATCAGCTCTTCCTTTTTCATAGTTTTTAAGCATTTGATAAACACTTCCTCTCTGTGCGTAACAGTCACCATCTTTACCGTTAGACAGTTCAATAGCCTTATTAAAATCTTCAAGTCCTTCATACAACTTTCCACAAGCAACAAGTGTTTGTCCTCTTCTTTTATATGCGTCTCCACATTTTGGATCACATTTAATAGCAGATGTAAAGTCTTGAATTGCTTTTTCAAAATTACTTAACATTGCTAATGCGGTGCCTCTTCCTAAAAAGGCTCCAACAACATTAGGATATTTCTTTAAGAAAACAGTAAAATAGTCAACAGCTTCTTTAACTCTATTATTATTAACATATAAATATCCCATTGCTAATTCTTTATCAATAACGGGGTTATTTGTTCCATTTTGTAATTGTTTTGTTTGTGCAACATACTCTGCAGCTTTCAAAGTCTCACTTTCATTTTTTGTAAAAACATCATCATCTTCATCAATCTCTTCAACGCGAAGTACTTTCTTAGGTACACTACAAGCATTAACCTTTTTCTGAATTACCTCTTGTGCCTTTTTTAATTGTTCTTCTTCAAATTTCTTTGTTTTTTCCTTTTCATTTTTATTTATTTCTTCTTTAGTAATATTTTTTGTATCAGACCCTTTGTTTTGTGATTGAATTATTTTGTCATTATTAACAGAATTTGGTGGATTAATTTTCTCTTGCTCTTGTTGGACTGGAAGTTCTTCATCGTCAGATTCACTTGAATAAGAAGATTCCTCAGATGAATAAGAAGAATCACTTTCAGAAGTAGTATAACTAGATTCAGAATCTTCTTGAGAGCTTTCATCAAATTCTGGATTTCCGATATTAAGAGTTCCATAATTTTTAATTTGAAGTACAACAACACCAACTTCATCGATTAATACTTTGAGTTGATCGATATCAATTTGGTCGAGAATTTTACTGATTTTAGTGTTTTTATTTTTGGTTGACATAAATGATTATTTCTAGATCTATTATGATCACTATTATGTTAAAGATAAAATTTATACCGAAAAACTTTATTGAAAATACCTTCTTCTTAAAGAGACATAATACCTAACATTATTATATTATTATTTTTATTAAGAAAACTAAAAATGAACTATAAAATTCACTGAGAATTATTTGAAGATGTCAAAACAAAAAATAACAAAAATTTTTATCAAAAACAAAAATGAAGTTAAATCAAATGTATTTGACTCTGACGAAACTGAAGAAAATGAACATCCTCGAGAAAACGTTTTTGAAGAAGAAGAAAGGATGTTAAGAGAAGAAGGTAATTATATAGAGAGTGATGACGATGAGTGGTATGACCAAACAAAAAAAGAAGATGAAGTAGAAGAATTAAGTTCTTTTGAAGATTCAATAAAACGTTTAATTGATGTCCAGTTTGAAATTTATGTAATGGAAGAAGAACAAAAGGAAATGGAAGAAGAAATAGATGAATTAGACCAATTTATGAAAATGAATGAACACCAATTAAAACATGAGAAAGGAGTTGATGAACTAAAAGAAATAGAACGTAAATTGATTGAAGTAATTAATAAGGTTAAGCCATCGAACAAAACATGGGATGAAATTAATTCCAATATCAATAAACAACTTAAAATAAAAAAATTAGTTCGTGGATGTGTTGGAATCAAGAGGAAACCAAATGAACCTGTCCTTGAGACAAAAAGAAAAGTTGAAGAAGATAAAGTCTCTGATGTAAAACCAAAATTAGATCAAAAAGGAGATGGGAAAAGTAGATTGAATGAACTTTATGGATATTAATAACAAGTATTATAAAATAATTCCTTTATTGATTTAAATTATATTTATAATTTATTTTACTATTAAATAATAGTTTAATAGGGTTAAAAAAAGCTATTTAAACAAAAAGAATCTCTTATTCATTCATTTACATATTAGCAACAACCAAAGTTGAATGTTTTAGGACATCCAATATCTAGAGTTGCAAAGAAATATGACTTTAAGCGGGGAGTGTTTTTTAGAAAGCCTCTCGATACAGAGTCGTATAGTTAATCTAGTTGTACTTTAATAAAGGTTATATATTTAAAGTAAAATAGTATGATTTTTTTTATTGTTAAGTACTTTGTAATATTTAAGTATTGCTTTTTCTTTGATATATACTTTTACATTTGCATAAAATGTTAATAATTGATAATAGGTAGAGAATATAATTTATAATGGGTATATACACATTAATTCTTTGATAAAAATAAAATTCTTAAATAAGACAATTAATTTTATTAAAATATATAAAGAAAATGGTTAAGTAGAATTGACTTAGATCATTTTACTTCTTATTGTTTTATACACTATTCTTCTTTGGTTTATTTCTTCAAACTTGTTTAATTTAATGATTATTTGAATAAACTTTTATAAAATAACTTATTAGTTATATTGATCAAGTGTTCCCATCATAATTAAAAACTCCTTTCGTTGTCATAGCAATTTTTTATTGTTGTTGATTTTCATTATTACTTTAATTGAAAAGCTAAGTTATATATAACAAAAGAAGTGTTTGTATGACTAAATTAATGTTTTTATTTATTGAGATTTTTGAAAACTAAATTTTTTCTTAAAGTGATAAAAGAGAATTTAACAAATAAGAATTGATTAAGACCAATATTGTAGTGACACATATACTATAATTTTATGTTTAATAAATAACTTATAATACTTTAATAAAATGCTAAAAATCTCAAAAATTAGATGATAAAATAAAAAATAAGGAGTTTGAATCAAGTTAATTCAAAGTATCTTTTACTGCAAGTTGTCTAAGATGACTTAAGAAAGTATCAAGACTAACGTCTTCAGTAAAGACGAGGTCATTTTTATTTTGTCCTGGAGCTACAGCAGGATCGAGAATAGTCATTAAGAATCTTTGATTTCCAGAATATTGGTTACAAACATAAATTCTTGGAGCAGGAATTCTTGTTTTAGATAACTCTTTTGCATCTTCTTCTGGTAAAGCATAATAATCTTTTAACCCAGCGTATTCTGGTTTTTCTTCTAATTTTTGTTTCATCCATTCTGCTACAGCATTACCTCTAAAGACAACAAGATAGAAATATGTATCTAATAAAAGAATTTCATCAGGTTTGATTGATTGAAGAGATAACAATACAGGTACTGGTTGTTGACCATATTTATAACTGTCTAATGTTGGCTGGATCATAGTTAATGTATTGTTAACTGTTTCCCTATTTAAAGTTGCTCTAAATACTGAAGTTTCGTCAGGAGTACAATTGAAAACTTTTAAGAAATGACTTCTTCTAAGATGGAACATAAATTGTGGATAAATAGAGAAATTTGGTGATAATTTAAATGAATTTGGATCATCTTTTCTGAAGTCACCAAATCGTTGACACATTTTAATTAAACTTCTATCAAGCCATCTAATAGCCTCTCTTGAGTCTTCAGTTTCTGCTTTATAAGCAGCATAACGAGCCATTAAAGTAGTAGCAGCTTCCTGATCAAATCCTGCAGCTAATTTTTCAAATCCTTCTTGAGATGGGTTTGTCCACATTCTAGAACTAGTAGTAGCTCGTATACATTTTCTACCTAATTCATCATAATAAGTTGTAATAAACTGAATAAATCCTACTTCATTCATTCTTTTAGGATTAGTTTGTGGATTTGTTACGTCGAATATAAAGGCATAAGATGTATTCTTTAATGCAGCAGATGCTTTCCATAATGAAGTTCCCCCAATAGCTACTGAAGTTGGTGATACTGAACTAGTCTTCTTATTTCCTGAAGTTAATGGACCTAATGCACCACAAACTTTCATTTCCTTACAAGTTTGTACTTCAATAGAAACATTACTTTTCCATACTTGACCATCAAATAAACGTAATAAAGTTTCTCTTAAAGCTTCATGAGTATAATCTTCAAAATAATAAGCAATTCCTCCAGTTCCTTCATACAACTTTCTCATTTCCATTAGTCCTGTTTGATCCATAGAACAAGCAAGAATAGTACATGCTGATTCATTTTGAATAAGTTTATCAGCAACACTATCATAGAATTGTTTAGCATTAGCCACATAAGGAGTGTTTTCATTAACAATATCTTGATGACATCTTAATGTTTCATTAAGTGATGTTCCAATAACTTTTCCTGGTCCTGCTGTGCATGGCCCAGCAATAAAAGCAATAATATGACCTGACATATTAACAGCCTTTAACATATTTTGTGCAATATCAAGAGCAGCACCTGTAGCTCTTTTTGGTCTTTCAGTTTGAGGTACATCAAATCCATCAACTTGAAGAGATTCAATAACTGACATAAAAGTAAGTTCACATTCTTCTATAGGGACAATGTATTGATTAGAATTTGGAGAAAGTAATAATCCACATTGTACAGCAATTGGTGTAGTAACTTTATTAGCAAAAGCAACAGAAATAAGACAATCACTTTCACACATTAAATTATGTACAGTGATACATTGACCAAATGTGATTAATCCAATTCTAGTTGTTGGTGGAAGAAGTGAAATAATTGTAGTTAAATTAGTTTTTAATTCTTCAAGTTCAAGTTCAGTACAAGTAATATCAATAACAAATATATAAGTAGGAATATATCTAATATTTTCTTGTACATCTCTATATTCAAATGTAGTGACTTGAAGTTCTGGAAGATTTTGATATTGAAGTTGATTTCTTGTTAAACAGAAACAGCAAGTCCATAAATTACTGTTGTAGTCAACAGAGCAATAAGGATTAATAATAGCTCCACAATGACTACATTTAATAGGAGCTCTATCTGCAATTAAAGGTTTTGGTAATAATGGTGAATATAAACAACCAATAGGAATATGAAGATTCTTTCGAGCTTCTTGGCTAGTACTTATCCATGTATTCCAAGTAAAACGGATTCCATCTCTTTGTTCGACTTCATCAATATTCATCACCCTTTTATTTAATATTTTTTAGTTAAAGTTCTTTCTATTTATAGTATTTCATCTTATAAAATACTTTGTTATTGAAACAAAAGAAATAATAATTCAATTACTCCCCATAGAATGCAAGTAAACGATCAGTGGTAAATGCTTGTTTTCCTGTAAATATTAAATGCCCTTTTCCACTTGTATCTCTATATGTACTTGAAAATGACCAATCAACTGTTGACTCATTATCTAATGTTTCAACAAAATAACACGAATAACATCCTACAATACACGTAGAACTTTTGCTTCCAGAAAGACATAAACTCTTACTATATTTGTTAACTTCTCTAGGAAGGAATTTAGTAGGATTAATATTATAAATATTTCTAAGTGTAAATACAAAATGATTCTCATCATTTTTAACATACACAAATCCATCCTTCTTTTCTTTTGGAATTTGTTTAGAGTGCCATGACCCAAATATTGATTTACCACTTACAACTATTATCAATAAATTTTTTCTACCACATACTTTTTCATTAAATCCTTTTGAATCAAAAAATTGTTGTGAACTATCATATATCAATTTCATTCGGATAGAAGGAATCCATTGTTTAAGAACTGTTTCATATTTTGATAGTCCAACAATTTCGAAAGGGTCTTGAAAAAGGTTGAGAGTTAATGGGGTAAAGGAAGTAGATGGATTAATTTTACCAGGATTTTTTTGTTTGATGATAGTGTCATCAACTGTTTGTCTTCTTAGTTTAGTGGTAGATAGAGAAGATTGTTTCTGGTGTTTAGATAAAAATGAAATGACAGAAGGATTAAGAGTGGTTGAGTCTGTCTTGACTTTCTTCAAACTATCAGCAGGAGAAGAGCATGACTTTGAATAGGGCTCAAGAAAAGAATTAGCAGGATTACAAGGAGTCTGTGGTTGTGTAGCACATTTAGACACACTCTCTGAACTTTGAAGACAAGAAAGTTTTTGAGGTATAAGGTGTTGAGTTTTAGTATCTAAATTGTCTTGTTGATAAGAAGTATTTTTGTGAATAGAAATTATACCATAATTATTGATTGTACTAATAGTAATGTTATTCATAAATGATTAAGTCCTTTGATACTTTAAAGATGATTAAATAACTGATTAAATTAATATTCTCATTATCGTTAACTATACATTATCATAGGGTTCTAAATATGAATAAACCTTTATGGAACAGTTTGA